GAAAAAAGAAACTTAAAAATTATTCTTGTTTCGCCTTTTTTCCCCTTCGATTCTACTCGCGTCTTAGAACGCGTCTGAAACTCTCTTCCTCGAGTCTGTTACGTCACACGATACCAAAAGGTTTCTTGGAACGCGTTTCTGGGTTCGACTATAGTGAACTGTAAACTGTGCGATGATTCACAACGACGAACTTTGCGTCAAGGATCAACAATTACCGTTTACACATCGCTTTCGTTCCCGCTTATACGACGAGCAACTTAGCAACATGCACTCGGTTAAACAGCAAACAAGTTCAAATAAACGGGGGGAGAAAGAGTAAAGAAAGGAAGGACGGGCGAGAACACACGAGACGTAGAGGTTACGAGATCACCGACAGTAAACGAGGAGATTTTGCGTCATCTCGGATCTTGGCGTGCTCGTAATCACGACAACAAGATACCCCGCAAAAAGAGAAACGAAAAGCAGATTGTCCTCTGCACCCGAACTTTAGATAACTATAAATTCGAAGGTCGTGGCCCCTGCACGCGCAGACCGCATGAGGAAATCGACAAACACGAAAACCGGGCACGGATAGGAGCGTAGATAGAAGTATTAAAAAATCGAGAGCCCGCACGATTTTTCCAATTTCAAATGCTTCCATTCCGAATTCACGTTCTATCGCCGCTCTACCCTCCCTTTGTTCTCGTCAACATCGTCCGATTATAAAATGCAACTACTTTAATCGACGCAGCTCTCGATAACGTTCTCGCCGCGAGACACGGACAACGCACGATCGAAGAATCGTTTCCCTATCGGAGTCAATAAACTCTTATCACCGTAAAAAAGAACGACAAGCGCGTGTTCTGGTGTGAATCGATTCTCGTCCCGACCACGATCAAGTTTTTCGTGGATCGAGAAGGAAAAATAGATTTTCGATCGATGCGAGTGAAAAGATTGGAGAGAAGAAAAAAAAAAAAAAAAAAGAAAGAAATACGAGAAACGGTCGATCCCTTTGTTGCACGCTTACGTACGTGCTTACACATGCGACGGGATTTCGGGTATAAACCGATCGATGGTAGAGAACGTTTGGAGGACGTGCGGCTCGTGCCTGGACGAATCGGTAAACACCGAGGGATGTTGTTCATTTTTGAAGAAACTGTTAGCATAGGGCCGGAGAGGCGTCGCACTGTTTTCCATCCTCGGTTTAGCTTCATTTTTGGTTTTGTATCGCCTACGTATACAATACTTTGGGTGAGCATCGAGCATTCGCCTTAAGCCGCCGTGTAAATACGAACGGTTAAAAACCTCTCGGTGGATACGCGCCTCTTACGACGACGCGCGGTCGCGTTTTCGAACGCACGATCGTTACTCCCCACGAAGGAGGGGAGGGGAGGAAAATCTCCGTTTGATTATCGAAGAATAAAAACAAAAAAACAATAAATACGAAACGATTCGATGCGAGGAATATCGAATTACCTGGTAAGCGGCCCACTGGGCGAGTGAGGAGTCGACGATCCGGGCTCGTGCTCCTGATGATGATGAGGCGTGCCGACAGTGTGGTGAGCGTATATCGAATCCATATAAATCTGATCGGAGACACGATCGGTGTCCTGGCCAAGGCCGTGGTTCGACTGTCCGACCGAGGACGGTGGCTGCATAGCTGTCAAATGAGCGTACGACTGTCTCCCTTGCTCGCTCGGGCTGTATCCTCCTCCTCCTCCTCCTCCTCCACCTCCACCTCCACCTCCACCTCCTCCTCCTCCTCCCTCTGCCTGCCCTTGGCGATGAGGCGACGAAAGTTCTTGATCCTCGTGCGGACTACGACTGACGGAACCCGGTGAGCTACCGGTTCGAAGCGCCGGTGAGCATCCACCACCGCCTCCACCTCCGCCGCTGCCGCCGCTGCCCTCCGCGCCGCTGCCACCTCCGTTGCCGCCTCCTCCATTGTTACCATTGTTACCTCCTCCCCGCATTTGATGCTGAAGATACGCGGCATCCGGCAAAACTTCCTCCAAGTGGTGATGATTGTGATGATGATGGTGGTGGCGGTTATGCTGCTGGTGGCCATCGTTCCCACCGATCTCGCCGGCTGAACTGGCCGCACCGGTGCTCGCAAGATTCGGGAACAGCATACCGAGGTTGAAATCTCCACGGGCGCCGCTCATCGCTACCGCGATTCCGCTCGTACGCTCCACGACGTCCTCGTCCGGTTTTTGATGCGACTGTGCCTCTTGCTCGTCCAAGTGACGGTGGCTGGTCGAGGAGAGCGTGGCGTGTTGTTGGGACGTGTCCGTTGACTGTAGATGATGGTGCTGTTGATGGTGGTGGTGATGGTTGTTGTGGTGGTGGTGGTGGTGATGGTGGTGGTGGTGGTGGTGGTGGTTGTTGTTGTGATGGTCGGCCGCTGCCGGCGAGAGCGCTTCAGTACCGTAACGATGCATCGTAGAGCAAGGCGCGTGACTACCGGCCCGATTTTCCTCCGGCAATACGGGGACCTCGCTCGACGCTTCGTTATCCCCACCCTCGCCAGCCGATACTTCTCTCGCCCCAGTTGAACGTATTCCGACTGATGGTGCTGTTGGTCGTGGTGATGGTCGGTGTGCTGATGGCGGTGGTAGTGCTGCTGCTGGTGATGGTGGTGGTGGTGGTGCGGCTGCTGACGCTGCTGTTGTTGGTGGTGATGGTGGTGGAGAGAAATATGTTGCTGTTGTTGCTGCTGCTGCTGCTCCTCCTGCTTCGACGAGGAATCGCCGCCTAAATCGCCGCCCCCGTACACGTTCGAGTCCTGATCGAGATAACCCCTTGACAACACGATAATTCGTTAAAATTAAAATTATTTCCCTCCTTGCTCCTCCAACTTTGCGCCGCCTTTCTTCGTTTTCTTCTTTTTTTTAAACTCTCCTCGCTTCGAGATCAAGGACGACTCTTTTACGTTGCGAATACTACTAATTCCACACGCGTGATCGCCAAATAATTCGAATGTACATGTATACGTGGTATACAATGCTCACCTTTCTCGAACCAGAGGGTCCTGAGCGTCGAAGCCGAGCGAATGCACGCCGTAAGCGTCGTCTACGTCGTTTCCTTGTTCCGGTGAGACGGGGATTTCTACCGGTTCGGCGTCACTCGCCTCGGCGACCGCGCCATTTTCAATTTCCTGTTGTCCCGCCTCCAGCACGCCCACCATGTCCCCGCCCTCTTCGCTTCCATGCTTTTCGTAAGGCAGCTGGTAAAGTTGGTGGCGTTGTTGCCTCTGTTGTTGTTGTTGCGTTTCCTGCCGAAAAAGTACCACATCCCCGCTATCCGTCTCTAACAATCCTATCGATCCTCCATCGTTGTTCGATTCCTCGCTCGGTTTCACGGACCTCTCCCTTCCTTTCTCGTATCCCGTCATTTCGTCCACGCATTCTGTTAAAAACAGAGATAAAAGCAAAGGGAAAGGAGAGAATAAAAAGGAAAGAAAGAAAAAAAGAAATATCGATATCGAGCTCGATCGACGACGACGACAACAACAACGTGAATCACTTCATTCATTCGGGATGTACGACGATAAAGAAATTCGAAATTTCTCGTAACGTCGAGTTTCGCGAACTGTGTAACGTTATTACATCACGGTTCCAAGTTCTATCGTTTCGTAGGGAAATCGGCGGAACGTGATCGATCGATCCGATCGTAAATATCATGGTCAATGCGTTTCGATGACACGAGCGAACTGTTGCTAACCGGTACGTTACAGAAATAACTAATTGTCCTTATCTATAACTCGTTACCAATCGTACCAAACTCGCGCGCATTTTCTTCGTTCAAAGTTTCTTTTTTTTTTTTTTTCCTTCCACTATTCATAATACTCGCATTGCGCCTTTATATTTTTCAGGAGGAGCGGAAAAATGATGAGAAATAAAATTGGAAAATATCGGGGAAAAGGAGGAGTTCGTTTCGAAACGAAGGCTAGACAGAGGAAGAAGAAGATATTTCCTTTTCTTTTTCTTTTTTCTTATAAGCAGCAATAAATACTGGAAAATTGGATGGATTTCTTTTCCTTGCCCCGTTCGTTTTATTTCCCTCGCGATCGATTTCGAAACGAAAAAGTACCAGTTTACCTCGGATTCTCGACGCTTTCATCTTATCGGGGCATCTTATCGAACGCATCGTCTCGCATGCGCCTCTAATCTCACGTATCGATTATTAAAGGAGAATCGAGAAATAATAAGAGAAATATAGATTGAAAAAAATTATATAAAAATATATATATTACGTAGGAAGAAAGGCGGAACGACACGATAGAGATAAGACGTTAGACAAACGTAAGGTAAAATTTGTGCAAGCTCGATTTGCATTTGCAGACGATTAAAATGCCCGCGTCGTAGACCACGACGATCGAAAAAAAAGCGTTTTTATTTTTCTCCCAACGGAACGTTCGGTATCAATCGGCATTTAACATTCAGTCGACCTTATTGACATTACCTAATCGAATTGGAAAGGTCAGGCTCGCTGATTTATCTAACGTTTTTTTTCGTTCCGTTGCGAGCGCGGCTTAAATATAGGTAGGTCCGAACAACCCTCTCGTTGAAAATACAATTTCGATAAAAGGAGTTGCCAAAAGTTGCCCGCCGAATATACAATAATAATATTTCTGTTTTATCATCCGTAGGTGTTAGCTTCGGGTGTAATAAAAACGAATTAACGAAAGGTGTTACATTCGTTGAAAGATCGGATTATCGAATCGAGCCGAGACGCGGATAAAGTAAGTCACGATTTCGATTAATCGCTCGACGATGAAAATCGCAGTCGATGTTAAACGAAGCAAATATTCTTTCTCGCTCGCGTTGCGAAATCGAGCCGTGCCATCGAAAACGTGTATCTCTCGCTCTCTCTCTACCTCGTAAAACATAGCCATACGGATTCAATGTCGTTGTTATCGGGATGTAACGCGCACACCGAAAATTAAATCGATTTTCCTCGCCTCCCACTTCTATCCTCCTTCTCCCTCTCTCTCTCTTTTCTTCTTCCTCTAATTCTCTTTCTTATTCTCCCTATTATTGAACAAGATTGCTTGGATGGATGAGTAACCGTAACAACAAGTTTGTTAGCAAAAATTGAATAAGAAAGTAATATTTCTGAAAGGAAAATTCCTTGGGATATATATATATATTTTTCGAACGAACCAAGTAATTTTCCGTTTTTCATCACATCGTCCAAAAAGAACGAGGTTAACGTTCTCCCCTTCTCCCCCTCCTCCGTGTAGAAGCGGTAGCGGCGAGGATCCCGATTCGTCGGCCGAGCGGAAGACGTTTTGTACAACGGGGGCAGAGGTTGCTCTTATCTTCTTGGCCCCATAAAAACGTTTACTGTTATCCGCAACGTACTATACGATACCAAGACGCATCGATGCGGCCTCACGACGAGATTTTCAGAGATTGAATAGTCTCTTTATCTCGACCTTCTCCCGATCCCCACCACCGAGCCTCTTACTTCAACCGATTTATTTTTTCCATTCCGATTCCTTTTATTCCAGTTATCATCCTTGCTCTACCCCGACTCTTTCTTCTTCTCCTCTTTTTTTTCCCTTCCTTGGTTTAATAATATAATCGAGTTATAACAACTCGAGGAGTCTTGTGTTTCGAGATTCGCAAGTTCGATCTTGAATTTATCTTTGATTTCGAAGATTTCTTTTACAAGTTCGTCGATGAAAATTTGTTGATTTGTTTTCACTCGTTATTGATAACAAATCCTTCTTTTTTGGGAATCAAAGCCTAGGGAAAGTATGAAAAGAATGGGAAAAGAAGAAAAAAAAAAATTGGTTAAAGTAACCGGCTATGTTAGAGAAAATGGTATGGAGTTAATATACGGTATATGCGCTGAAACGGCTCTTGAATCGCAGACTGCGCGTTTCTCTGTTGATATTCTTGTCATAGAACAGTCGCGCCATTGTAGAAAGACCAAATATCCTCTGAAGATCTCGGCGATTCCGCCGTGGATTTTGCACGTTATAAACGACTCGACGATACTTCCTGCCATCCTGTCGTCATCCACGCATCGAATTTTTATTATTAATCTTCGACGAATTTCCATTCCATTCACAATTTTTCCTCAAATTCGTTCAATTCGAGAGGGACGGCAAACGACGCAATAAAAAAACCGGTACACGCGAAAGAGACGCGAGGCCGAATTACGGCAAAGTACCTCTGCGGGTTGATAGAATGCGATACGTCCTAACTCTGATAAGACGATACGAGCCGGCACGCGACCACGGCACACGACTGAAAACACGGCACGGCGATTCCGTGAAACCACGATTTTTCGATACGTTTTTCGAGGTGTTGGGAAGAAGGGAAAAAAAAAAAAAAATGCGTATGATTATTCGAAATCGAGAGACAATTTCGATTCGAGATTATATCGCGTGGAATCAGGAAGAAGGCGGCATCGAAACTTGACGAACGAGAGGGAAGAGAGATCGAGGGCGGTCGGTAACCCTCGTTTATCTCGGTGGTTCTTCGTTTCTCTATCTCGAAACTCGCTAAAAAAAAAAAATATGAATTTCTAATTCGAGTCGGTATTAAATTTATTGTCGGTATCGATTTGTGATCTATCTTAGCAACACAGTCTTTCGAGTAAGTAAATAACAATAATAGTAATAAAAACGTTGCATCGTTTGTTCTTAATTATGATACATAAAGATGATATATAAAGATCATAAATGTGTAATCAATATTGTATATTATGATATATCTAAAATCGAACCGTTTAAGAAATGTATAGGGAGAGATTATTTATATATATATATATATATATATGTATATAATGGGTATTGATTTGTATTGATCCATCTTACAATAGATCGTTTCGAATAAAAAATAAATAAACGAAATAATAACGAGAGAATCGTTTCATCGTTTGTTCTTCGTCATAATACAATATAATAAATATATGTATGTATGTATGTATGTAAATATAGAAAGATGCGTATGAAAGAGCGCGAGTGTATTTGAAGGTTGACGACGTGCACGACTAAGAATAATAATCCCAACGCAAAATGCGGAAAGAGAGGAGGAATCGGTGAAAGGAAGGGAGGAAGGGACGAAGGTAAGAAAACAAATATTCAAGCGGGCTGCTTACCCTTCGAAAGAGGAGAAAGAAAGAATAGAAAAGAACATGGGCCGCGGTTAGGGTCATTAGTAACATCTTAAACAAGGAAACAATACCGACCATTTTTGGTCGGTAAAAGGGAAAAAGGGACGAGGAGGAAAATTTATATATGATACAAACTTTTACGATATCAAAAAATAATTGGACGATCGAGAGAGAGAGAGAGAGAGAGAAGAAATTAACAGAAGAAGAAGAAGAAAAAAAAGAAGGAAAAAAATTGGAATTTAAAATCTACTACATATTGGATATATTGGAATTAGACAAATCCGTTCGAAACTATTCCGACGGCCGCGAGAATACTAAGTGTCGAATTTCTGTCATGTTTTTTTACCAACACGGTCGGACACGGTTCTATCCTCCCCCTCCCCAGTCTAGGATTCGTTCGGCTCCATTAACTTTCTAACCAGCCACTTTCGACCCATTCGAAGAAAAAACGATCGATGAATCTTGAGAGAGAGCTGCCAATTATCGATACCTTGGCAAAGTACGTGTATGCATTCTAAAAAAAAAAAAAATGAGGTAGCTGTATAAACTATCTCCCTATTTAGAAGAAAAATGTATATAACAACAAAAATAAAAGGAATATCTGGGGGGAAAAAATGTGAGCGAAACGAACACGAAAAAAAGTTTTAAATATATAAATAATAGTAACGATTCAGAAGGAAAATCGTAAGATGCATAAGTATATATTCGTACAAGTATATATACATATACGTGCGTGTATGTGTGTGTGTGTGTGTGTATTATAGTTTAAATATTATTAAGTCTAAAGTAGCAATAAAACTCGAGTGTCGTGTCCACGCACCCTTCAAGATTCACGTAACTTCGTTTCCATTACTCTCGTGAGACGTGTCAGCCGTCACGAGCCGCGAAACAACGAAACGCAGACTGCGTGGCGTAACATGAGAAGGGATCGCGTTATGGGACATATTTTCCTCCTTCTTCTTTCCTTTACCCTTAAGTAAAAGCGCACTCGTCCTACGATTTTTTTTTTCGAATTCCAAAAAAAATATGGTTAAGCGCCACCTCCTCGATGAACGCATCACGTTCAAAGCGTTCTTACGATACAAGGAAATATACTTCAATCACAGAATTCCGTGACAAAAGTGAACTTCTATCGACTTACATCGACGAATCATAAGTTCGTAAAAAAAATTATCAAACGAAAATATGATTACTTGTATGTAATATCAACGAATGTTTGTTTATTTTATCGTAGTAATATATAAATAATAAGATTTATTTTTAATTGAGGTCGT